ACTGAGGCTTATATAGATCTTAGGAAAAATATTTCCAGCCCATATGTATATTTAGAAAAATATTTTCATTTAAAGGATTTAATATGACTATTAAATAAATTCAAATTGAATTTAGGGTTTATAAAATAGTCAAATAAATTCCAAAACTACCAAAATGCACTGAAATCATGGTATGCGTATGCTTTATATGTTCACATCCTAGTTTGATTTTTTTAGATGTGACACCAGCCTCATGGCCAGCAGGCCTGGGCACTTCCAGGGCCCTCGACTGGCACAGGGAGCCCTTTCCTCAAAACTTCTATACCTTTGTGTGCAAGCCATGTACTCCTCAACCAATCAGGGATCTAGATCAATTAGAAACCTTGTAACCCTAGGCCTTGTCCTCCTTTATAAAGCAAGGCTAGGGGGTAGTATGGGGCATCTAACTCATAGTCATTGCCTTGGTAGCAATCCCTACCTCATACTTGTAACCCTCTTACACAAGGTGTTTCCACCATTAATCAAAGCAAAACAGGAGTGTGGTATTACCTTGACCATGATCCTGAACCTGGGTAAAACCCTCGTGTGTGATCCCCTCTGGAACATCCGGTCGCGCTCTCCACCATACTAGGACGGCGGTTTTCAGTACCATCACTTTTCTCGTGGGAATCCCATCTGGGCTTCCTGCTACGTGCATCATCCCATGAGTATTGTCAGGAAATTAGGGCATGTACAATGGTTGATAAGACAGTCTTATCTTAAGTCTTCCATGTAATTTAGAGATGACAAAAAAAGATGTCTACAATGGATCATTTCTTAGTCTTATCTTTAATAACTAGCTATTCCTAAAAACATGGTGAGACATATTGTGCTAAGAGATCATTTCTTGTCTTCTCTTAAACATGGTGAGACAAGCCTTTTCTACGAGTTCTCTCTCCTTCACCTCATCATTTATCCTACGTGTCATTTCTAAGATAGCACCATTGTACATGCCCTTAATTATACCAACAACTCTCTTGCGAGGATTGTTGCTGGACCACGGAGTGTCTTGCAGCACACAACAAGTTGTGTCTTGTGCAACCAGTCATAGGAGAGGATGGACTACCTCCTCTCTGGCTACTCCTTCTCGTGCATGGTCTGGCACGAGCTACTCTCCTGGATCAGGTCGACTGCCAGTGAACCAGATGAGGAGGTGGGGCAACCGACGCCCGCATCGCCTCCGCAGGCGGCACAGGCAGAAACAAATCTCTGCCGCCGGCACCCCTTCCTCTGTGTCTCCCTCTCATCGCCGCTGGCTTATGCCGCCGGGGAAAGCCCGCTGGCGGTCGGCGGCGGCGGGATCCTCCACTTCGCATGGCCCTAGTGGTGTGTGTGTGTGACGTCCGTGGTGGTCAATGCAGAAATTGCATGGTGCCTCAGAGCTGCAGTTACTTGTCCTGGCCGCTGCTACAACGCTCGACACTCGGAAGGTACGGTAACAGGCGGGTGGTAGACTTGGTGGCTGCGATCGGCGGTTCCGTGGCCCGATCTGGGCGTTGCAGCTCGCCGGGCTCTAGCCGTGAACAGAGCGTGGGAACCGTGGCAGCGACCTGGGTCTCTTCTGCAGCGACGACGGTCATGGTGACGACCACGGCGGCACCCCTGGGCGCCTGGCGAGGCGGCAGACGGCTGTTCCACCACGGCAGCGAGGGCAGCGTGGGGCCGACCATCCTAGGGTTCCCGACCCAGATCTATTCCCCTTCGACGGCGGTCCTAGGGTTCTTCTAGCGCCAAGACGGTGTTCTGCTTTATGTCGGCCTTCATTGATCTAGCCATTGACGAGTTTCGGAAGGCTCCGCCAGAGTTTTCTATTGGGTGGTTGACACGTGTAGATTGCTGGATCGGATGGAATTCGGTCGTGGGTGCCCCTATTTTAGCCCGTTTGGCTTGAGGAGGGCGTGACACGAAGTTCGTTGTCTGTTACATTATAATGGGACATGTCGTTATTTTAATTTCCATGACGAATAAGTGGCGAAGAACGTCATGGTGGCTGAGGTCTGAGGCCTAGTAATGGTGGATCGAGTCTTTGTGGCGATGATTACCTTGCTTGGTGATTCGTGACTTGTAGGAGCTGCATCGTCAAGTGGGGGCGGTAGCACAGGCGGAGTACAGAGTCTTAGCTTTTTGGATGAAAACCCAAGGCCTGGCCTTAATTGGTTGTGACTGGCAGTGACCTTATTGAAGGCATTGTTTTAAGAGCGCGGATCTTCTTCAGAGTGAAAACCTAAGATTTAGGATCGGGCGATGACGGTGCGTGTGCACTGTTTCCTTCTTGGAGGCGTCACTTTTGGAGAATTGGACTTTGGGCATTGTCCAGGTGATGGTTCGTGTTGCAGCTACAAGGAATTGATCACTATATAGCGGGACCTTTCTTTTTTTCTCTTCTTTTTGTATTTTGGCCATGTGCATCCGTAATGTCTTTACGATATTGCGTTGTTGCAGAGGCTGGGTGTAATTGGTATCATCATGATATTAATATATTTCCTTTGTCGAAAATGATGAGGAGGTGGACTTTGTGGATTGTGGAAAGAAACTCGCCACTCGCTTCCTACCTCGGCTCGGGATGGCATGTCCTCGGTCATCCAGCTGGGCTGGTGGCTTCGTGCATCTAGAAGCATCGTGATGCAATCACCTTCGACAGTGCTCGTCTCAGCCTCGACCATCTCCTTGACACGAAGTCAGAGGCTAGGCAATGGGCTCTAGCGGTCCCGTACGTGCTTGTGGGTTTGCTCTCAGAGGGAGTCACGACTAGTGTGTAGGGACGTTCTGTTGTGCGTTTGGTGTGTCCTTCCTTGAGCTATTCTACGTTGGGGCTTGTAACGAGTCTTCTCTCTATCAATGCAATAAAATGCAAATTTATTTGTGTTTCTTGAAGAAGAAAGTTCGGAACAACGCAAGAGTACCACTTTATATGAGGGGACAGGTTACAAAGAATCTGTGGCAGTGGAGGGCTTGGGAGATAGTAACACTCTACTTCTATTGGGAAGGTTCCCACCATTCAAGAACCTTTGGGAACTGAATCTTCTGAGCTCTAGTAGGCACCTCAGCGCTTTCCTTGTTCTACAGAACCCTCCAAGCTGGCCCCATGGCATTTGGCGCCCCCGCTCTATTACAAACGCCTAGCAGAGTCTTTGAGACGTTGATTGCACCGTGGACGGGAGCGACTGTCCCTGGCGGTGAGCCGGGGAGTGGGTGTGCAGGCATGCATGCGACCCGTCCCGTACCTAATAAATAGTACTAGTACTAGCGGTCATGGCCTCATGGGTGGAGTAACTCTCGCAGAGATCGCAATCTTTCTTGCATGCATTCCCCGGCCAGCCAGCCGCGCTCGCAGCAGTTAAAACCTGCCGGCGACCGGCGTGAATCGTCAATGCAGCACTCATTCTCCGCTGGCTGCTACGGACGAGCAGCCCAGCGGCGACCCATGATCATCCACGAGTCAGGCCAACTCCATTACACGATCTCAAATGGACGTCTGTTATGTCCGGTTTTAGTTGAAAGCGTCCAACGCGCAGACCAACCCTAAATCGTCCGCCTTGTCCTCGCGCCTCAACCTCCCGTGAGCTCGCGCTCTGGCTACGCCGCGACCTACCGAGCTCGACCGCGGCTCCGCGCCCCGCCCCGCACCTGCCCGTGCCCTCGACAGGGCCTGCAGGCCGGCGCGCGCCGCGCCGC